CATCTTTGGGCGACGGCCTCTTCTTTATTGCCTTGACGTTCGCTGGGTCTGGACGCCTACCGTTCCTTTCGATTATAAAGCCGAAAAACATAATCGAGTCCATGAAGAAAGTACACTTCTCGGGTCGGAGTCTGCATCCATATTCCTCAACACGGTCAAGAACTCGATCCAACATTTCGAATAGGTCATCAGCACTACCTCTGACAACAATAATGTCGTCCAGCTATGCGGCTGCTCCATCGACATCTGTCATCATTGCGTCCACGATCTGCTGAAATATGGCTGGTACAGACTTGATTCCAAACGGGGGACGGTAATACTGGTACAAGCCTCGATGCGTATTGATGGTGAGCAATTCTCCTGAAGTTACATGTACTTCGATCTGTAGGTATGCATCAGAGTGATCCAACTTTGCGAAACATTTACCACCATACACTTTTGCGACCAAATCATCTGGGAGCGGTAAAGGGTGCTGATGGGCGTTCGATGCAGCATTTAGACCCATCGAGAAATCGACGCATATTCGAATCTGACCGGTCTGGCTTTTTGACCACAACAATGGGGGGTCACCCAAGACGAGTAGTTCACCGGGTGCATAGCTCCTGCTCTCTCTAAGCGATCCAGCTTCTGGTCAATCATTGATGTTGCTGCGTAAGGTACAGGGCGTCTCGTACGAAACACTGGAACAGCATCGGGCTTAAGGGACAGTGAAGCTTGTCCTTTAGTGAACTTACCGAGGTCTTCTCGAAAATCTACTTCATATTTCTTCCGTAGGCGCTCGATAGCCGCAGTTATAGAAGCTGTTATCTTGTGTATCTGGACACTTGCTCAAATCTGGTTGATCGGAACATCAAGTAGGTTCAAACGCACAATCCAGTCCATACTCAGATGATACAAATTCTGGTGGCTCGTGACAAATTCGTGCCCCATACGATAACATCGGCATAACGACACAGTCGAGTTGACCAGTCAACTGCAACTCGACATCTGATGCACTTTTCGTCTACTGACTGGTCGGTTTGATTCCTGGTGATCCGACAGTTCTCCACAGCCTTTCTGCTATGATCGTAATGTCTTAGGCCGTATCGATCTGAGAACGCACCTGTCGTCCATTGATGTTGACGTTAACTACTTTTTATGATCTCTGACATCGTCAGTAAAATTAGTGTTCACTTTCCTCGCGAAACCACTGTAGTCTTTGTTTCGTGCATCATAAACCGGTCTGAAAAATGGCTTGGATCTGCAATGAGTTTCTGTGCCTACGTCTATGACATTTCTGGCAAATATGCTTGTTGAATAGACACCATCTAACAAAATGCCAATCGCCGCATTGCCAACATACTGATGGTGGCTTACTTAGAGGGTCTTCTTGTGATCAGTGGCCGGAAACTTGTTCCTCGAAATCTGCTTAACTGCGAATTCAATGGAATGCGCCCTCGTATCCTCGACTATAGCTGTATCGTGTTTTAAATTGATGAATCTCTGGACTTCTGCAATGACAGCTTGCAGTGTGACGTCCGGGTCTCTCTCCAACAACCCAAGTATTCTGGTTCGAATCTCGACTGTCTTGGGAGATTGGAGGCTGAACACCAGTATCAAACACTCAAATTGGTCTTCAGTAAGTGATTCCAGCTTGAATTTCGAACACTCGCTTCACTGTTGTTGCATGGGCAATAAGACTGTCGCTGTCCCTCTGGCACAGCTTCAGACAATTGTACCGATTATTGGAAAGCGATGCCTGATCGCCGAACATCTCTGTAAGTCGGGAAATGGTTTCATCAAAGCTGAAATCTTGAGCACTTTTTGGCAAAATGTAATTGATATATCTGTCTTGCTCCACAGTTCCGAGTTTATGTAACAGCAGCCGTACTTTTGACATTTCATCAAGATTTGCCAGCTCCGCCTTGAAAATATCTTCATAACGTCTGAACCATGCATCGAAAATCAGTCTTGAAGCGGGATCAAAAACAAACTGACACAGTTGATTAGTGCACCAACTGAAGACTTGGCAGCATTGTGGACTGATGTAGACTGGAGCGATAATGTTCGAGTGAAAGTCTCGATCACACACAGCTGTGTCGCCTCAAACTGTTGCTGCTGTTGACACATAATGGGTTTCAGCTCTTCTACCGTGACTTACGTTTTATTTGAAGGATGTTTGTGAGTAACGTAAGTTTCGTAGAAGGCAGAAGTCACGATTAAACTCTACACGAAAATCTGCCTCGACGGGGAATCGAACCCCGGTCCACGAATTTCCGGTCCGCTGCTCTACCACTGAGCTACCGAGGGCTGACGATTAGGTGCGGAATTTAACACGTGACTTCTGCTTGGTGCGCGACGTATTGCGAGTGAGCTCACAGTAACTGTCCTGGTGTTGCAGATCGGCTCACTCACTCGTCACTTCCCAGTGGACCGAAGTAACTGTCCATCCGAAGTCCAAAGGGCGATGGTAGATTATTTGAAGGATGTTTGTGAGTAACGTAAGTTTCGTAGAAGGCAGAAGTCACGTTACTCACAAACATCCTTCAAATAATCTACTATCGCCCTTTGGACTTCGGATGGACAGTTACTTCGGTCCACTGGGAAGTGACGAGTGAGTGAGCCGATCTGCAACACCAGGACAGTTACTGTGAGCTCACTCGCAATACGTCGCGCACCAAGCAGAAGTCACGTGTTAAATTCCGCACCTAATCGTCAGCCCTCGGTAGCTCAGTGGTAGAGCAGCGGACCGGAAATTCGTGGACCGGGGTTCGATTCCCCGTCGAGGCAGATTTTCGTGTGGAGTTTAATCGTGACTTCTGCCTTCTACGAAACTTACATTTTAAAAAACTACTTGCGTCGCCAAAACCGTTGTAGTTTTCGCGGATAACCAATGCAGCCACTCTGATCACAATATAGCCACTTTCCAAATCAGAAGACAAAGGTCTCTGGCGGAAACTTGTATGGAGCACTCGGGAGACATTCGTACAGCCAAAATATTGGGTCGAAATAAATAGTGCATGAGAGAAAAGACTTGATTGAAAGTTCCTGACTATAGCAACTACTAGATGTGCAAAAACTCCTTTGTTGGCTGAGCAAGTAGTGTGCATACTGAAGGGCTTCAAGATAGATCATTCTGAATGGTCCACCTCAAAGTAAAACGATGCTTCTTTTCGCTTCCTTGCTTGCATTTCGTTGCCTCTTGTACCTCTCGTAATCTTTCGCAGATCGAGATTGCATGAATTTATTGCGTACCCCGCGTGGCCTTCTAGCCATTTTGCCATACTCATTGTCAAACAAGTGTGATTTGACTGGTCCAGGTTTCCGATATTTAAGGGGTGCAAATCGAGCTCACAATACTTTTTTCCCTTCTTTATAGTAGATCAGTAGAATTCAGCGGATGAATCCTGTGCTAGCGAGCAGTGCATCAGGCTTGCGGCTCGAGGCTATTAGCGTCCGCCTCCCAGTAGTTGGAGGCTGGCTCCAGCGGACGAGGAAACATCAGTGACAGCTCTAAGCTCGCCATGACCTTCGAGTGGTCACTCACTCCCAGGGACTCCATGCCCTGAATGTCATGCACACGTTGCTCCCAGCTGATTAGCAACTGGTTCAGGCACGATGGAGTCGAGGGCGCGGTAATGCGGCTTGGCTGAGTGATGTGCTGTGTGACCCCTGTTTCAAACATCATCTCCGCAAACTTCGTCTACTTCGTAGTGGCCGGGGAGAAGCTCGACCTCGATTTATTCGAGGAAGGTTGCAATCGCCCATGGGCAGGAATTGCGGACTACTCATGTGGTTGTGCATGTGAGGCATCCAGTCCAAGCTGCTACTCAGTGAACTGCGATACACCACCCACGGGGATATCGCCGCCTTTCAAGTGGATGGAACACCATAGCTGCTCACACAGGCCATCACCGCTTGCGTAGAAACTCGCGAGTTTCCCGCACAAAGAAGACCTTATGTATAGCCGCGCGCCACCGTCATCATTTGATAGTCTATCACAGCGGAATCAAGAATATCCGCTGATTTCAACTTCTTGTGTGGTTATCTCTGAACTCAACCAAGTTTCAGCTAAGCCCAATACGTCTGGTTGCCGAGACGCAACATAGTGGCAAACCTCGTCACGTTTGTTCATTAGACTACCAACATTTGTAATGGCTACACGCAGGCCGCGGTAGGAACCGTCGGACGTATGTGAAGCATTAGCAACCTGTTCCTCCGGATTCGGAGAGGAACTCGGGTAACTATTTGAAAATTTACAATGCGGTAATTTGTTTCCCCGCCTTCATTGCGCCGCTTTAGTTCATTCACTGCAGACTTGAGTATCTATGGGTCTGCTGGATCCATGTCTGCACGCACATGGATCTTCAAACCCCTTAAATCTACCGAGGCACGTTAATATAAACTTCGGGCCAGCTTCGTCAGCAAAAGTGGCTCTTGTGGGTCGAACATTTCTCTCAATTTTCTTTCCCATACGGACAATTTGCTTCACTTTCAGCCCGCATTTACCGACGTCGAGCAGTCTATCAACCAGACTCTATAGAAACTCGACGTCGTGTTCATAGCGAACCTGAGGGTTCGAACCTGACCATTCAGGTTTCTTTGGACTTTGCGTTTGTCAAAGGTCATCACTACCTGGTTTGTCACACATTTGAGTGACAGTGTCCGTCGAAGCCCTAACTGGTGTAAAGAGGGGCTACTCACTGATCTAAGGACTCGCTCAGCAGAGCTGCGGGCCTAACTTTACAGGTCCATTGATTAGGTTTTCCAGGGGACTTGGACTGCAGTTTGCACTATCACTCCTTATATATAATTTTGGTAAAATCGTGTTGGATCTCGCGGATAATGCGAAAATGGTCCGCAGAAAGACCACTACACGTAATAGGAATGGTCACCTTGCAACGTCACGAGAAAAAGCGTTTACACGATGCCCAACGATCTTAGAGCAACTTCCTTAGGGAGACTGCTTTACTATTTTTAAATTTACCAGCAATCGATACGACAGAAAATGAGAACTATACAATCACGGGAAATAGACAGGGCTAGGACACGTATTAATGACAAATAGATTCGGAATCACAAATGACACTGATTTACACAAAATACGACGGATAAACACGACTTTACTACTGTAAATAACGAAGAAAACCAGTCTAAGACAGCCGCAAGGCATCAGACACTATGGAACGACAGAGTAGCTGTCGAAAACAGACAACCATATATAACTGGATAATCAAAAACCACAAAGAATACCTATAGTTGTACATTTGAAGAAAAAATTACGATTTGTAACAGAAATACTGAACAAACTGGCCTGGGTGCACAGCGACTTATTTCGAACCGGCCGCCGTGACCGTGTGCAACAATAGCCAATTGTCTGACTTCCAATGATCAGTATTGAGTATCTCGACTTTTCTGGCCATCACAGTGGAAGCTGCTCCTGTCAATCTTTGACGCTTTTCCACCAAGTTCCTTGTTAGCACTGGGACAATGAATTTCGCATTTACACGAATTTCAGTTGCCTGGCTCCGTTGTTAAAAGGCACTAGCCCCTGGATACGCTCGTTTCACGCTCTCGCCAGCTCTTGGTATGCACTGTATTTCACTACCGTTCTGCTTTATGGTTGATGAATGTACGGCTTTTGTTTCCTGTTTCGGCCTGCATCCTTTATCTAACTTTTTAGCTAAGTCCTTTGAACTATAATGACACGCGACTGGAGTTGCGAGTTGGATCATTTGTTGGAGACGCAAGATGACATCGAGAAAGAGATGGCTGCTGATAACAAAATGGAAAAGGGGATTTTAGCTCCATCTTCAGAGGGGTCCTTCAGCGGTGCTTTTGCGCAAAATTACCGAGCCAGTTCTTTCACCAATCTAAGATCCGGTGAAACCAATAAAAGACTGAACACCGAAGTGTGCGCGTCTGAAGATTTGACTGTTTCCAATCGCGGCCCAAACAAACGCTTTAGACCTAATTCACCATGTAGCCTGGAATCCTCTGGTATGTCCACTTTCCTTCTACCACACAACTTTAGTCGAGTTTGTACATAATCCAACGCTACTGAAGCGTATTCCTCTTAACGGCGATTACTTATCCGTTACTTTTACTGATGGGACCAGATATTATTTGAAAATGACCGACACTTTGACCGAATTTCCAACTCATTTCGAACGGTATGAAGCCTCTGGGCTCATCGAAGAGGCTGAGCACATCGTAAGTCTCATCGCAATTGAGTGATTTCTTAGTTGAAATCTAGGTTCGAGTCCCAGTTGACTCCTCAGTTTGGTTTAACTGAGGCATCTTATGGATCGAAAGAGCTTTGGACCACAAAATATGCTCCTAAAAGGTACACAGACCTTATTTCGAATGAGGTAAGTACGTTGGATCTGCTTCCACGATCCGGGGATATTGGTCCACTTAGTATCCGTGATGAGCTTCGCATACCCTGACATGTTTTGCTGGTAAAAAGCGGGGTCTTGTTTTTGGCCGCAGGATTGAACGTCCTGTTTTTTGCACTTTCTCTGTGGATTTAGACCATCCGTACATAATACTAATGGTTTGTTTTCCTTGTGTTTGTTTGCACTTGTGTCAGTATTTGTCGCTACTGTTTAGTTCGTAATTATGGTCGAGAGTAATCTCTTCCCATGTAAACCTGTCCTCTTACGAAATCAGCAGTCGGCGATTTTAGCGCGGAAGTGCTAAATGTGCAGCTACCGCGACAGCACAAGGGGGTCTGAAAATTAAAGCATACTTATAGGGTAGACACAATGCGTGCCGAAGTGCCACTTGACGTCCTCCTGTAGGTTGCCAGCCATGGACCCAAATTGACCACATTTGCCATAAGTTACATGTGGCATGATTCCATCCTGGATTGCTGCTCGTACTGGAATACCTGCATCGACTCTGATCATGCCTTAGTACGCTATCGTTTCTCCATGAACCTTACCGTGAAACGCACCAAGCGTCTCCTCCGATAGAAAACTGAGAAATTGTCTCAGCTGTCGGTCAAGCAAGCCTATCAAAACGCCCTGCATACCGAAGTTTCGTTGTCTTGTCCTAAGAACACTGAGCTTCAGTGGCATAGGATCTCGGCCGCCATGCACGACGCAGGAGCATCTGCTTGTGGCACTATCAATCGTCACCGCACCAGTCACTGGATATCCGAGAGGTCGGTGAAGGTGTTGGAATCTAGAAGACACCTCCCGGCTGGCTCTGAAGACAATGCGACCAAACGGACTATTAGGCGTGGACTGAAACAGAGCCTACGTGCTGACAAGGAAGCCTGGTGGACCACTCGGGCTCAAGAAATGGAGGAGGCAGGAGCAGTAGGCAATTACCGCAAGCTCTTTCAGCTGATCCGCACCACTGGTCCCATGACACCAGGCGTCGATGTGGTAATCAGACAGCACGGGTGCACTGCTGCTTCTTCAACAATAATCCCAGATGGAAGCATACATGAAACTGATTGAAAGTTTGACGCAGTGCTTGAACGTACAGTCAAACGGAACAGCTACACTGGACACGCAGACCGTTTCACTTGATCTTCTTACGAATTCACTCACTGAATTTCATTATGATGCTGATTCCAAATGCACTTTCTAAGCGTGGTTCAGACGCTGGGAGGACATGTTCCGGACGGATTTCAGCCGTCAAGATAATTCATAGAAAGTGCGTCTTTTGATCCGCAACCTCGGTGCTAATAGACATTCAAGATTCGTCGACCACATCGTTCCCAAAGAGCCGAAGGACATCACTTTCAACCAAGCAGTGGCAATACTCAAAGAAATTTTCCATGAGTCAACATCTTTGTTTAGCATTCGCTATCAATGTCTAAAAATTGTTAAGCGTGATACGGACGATTATGGGGCACTAGCGGACATGGTTAATCGTGAATGTGATCGATTCAAATTACGCTGGTTCACGGATGACCAATTTAAGTGTCTCATATTTGTCAGTATTTTGCAGTCCCGTCGCGACGCAGAAATCCGCCCTCGGCTCCTTGCTAAGTTGGATCAAGATACAGACTTGACATTGAAGTCTCTTGTAGGCGAATGCAAACGGTTGATCACTTTGAAACACGACACCGCTATGATTGAGCAGAGTCGCCCCACCATTGCCGATACTGTTCATGCTGTGCAAAAAGCAAGAAAGGCTGGCTCGAACAATCCATTCAACAGAGCGCCGAACAAGCTGTCTACACCTTGTTGGTCATGTGGTGAATGACATTTCGCACGATGCTGTCCATTCAAGCATCACATTTGTGATAAGTGCCATAAACGCGACCACAAGGAAGACTTTTGTTATCAGTCCCGGCCAAGAAACGTGAAGCAGTCCTATCGAAGGAAGAACTTCAGGAAGCCTGACGCAGAATCACTATCGATGATTTCCATTTTTCATAGTGATTCTAGAACACGCTTCCGATTTATCACTGTGCTCATCAACGTTATCTCAATCATGCTGCAGTTCAATACGGCTTCAGTTGTAACGATCATTTCCACGAACACTTAGAAGCACATAAAGTGGCCGAAGATGGTTGATTCCAACAAAGTCGCCCACAACTCATCCAGTGGAGTGCTGAAGCTGGTCGGAGAAATAACTTGCAAAATTGCATTCAACGGAGTGGAACAGGCCGGAACTTGCTACTTCTGTGACTGACCAAACTGGAACCTCCTTGGGCTTGACTGCATGAACAAGTTACAACTGTTTGGTGTTCCTATGCATCAGATTTGCAATAGAGTCCAAAGCGATCCCGTCCACGAATCGTTGTCGATAATAAAACATGACGAGAATGCTAAAGTAGAAGTTTGCCTCCTTGTTTGAAGATGGTCTCAGTCACTGCAGTAAGTTCCAAGCAAAGTTGTGCCTTCGCGAAGGAACCAATCTAGTCTTCAGATCAAAATTACCGGTACCGGATGCAGCCATGACAGCAGTTGATCTCGAGCAAGCCGTTGTCGTCACAGCAGTGAACTACTCTTCATGAGCTGTGCCGATCGTTGCTGTGAGGAAACCGAACGGTAAAGTGCGTGTCTGCGCCGATTTTTCGACTGGCCTGAATGCCGCCCTGGATGACCATCAGTACCCTCTTCCGATATTAGAGGATATCTTTGCCAAGTTGAATGGTGGGAAGTGTTTCGCCAAGCTCGACTTGTCCGATGCCTAGCTCCAGGTCGATGTTGATGAAGGCTCGAGAGAATTGCTAACTATCAACACTCATCGTGGCTTGTACTAGTACAACCGCCTCCCTTTTGGAGTAAAAACAGCACCAGCCACCTACCAGCAACCGATGGACACCATGCTCGTGGGAGTTTCTGGATCCGCGGCGGATCTGGTTGCTATCATTTTAATGGGCTGGACAGCAGAACTATTTGAGCGGCTTGCTGAAGTGCTTGAACCCATATATGGTTTTCGTATCCGTGAATACAAGCGTACATTTTTACACCAACCATCAAGTTCTTCGACTTCATTTTCGCAAAAAGCGCTCGCCGCCCTGATCCAGAAAATATCCGAGTTATTCAAAAGATGCCCTGCCTGCGGACTTGCAATCGCTGCGTCCATTCTGTGGCCTTATTAGCCATTACAGCGCTTTTCTGGCCAAAGCACATCGCCTGCGTACCCCGCTGAACAAGTTGCTGAGCAAGGGCCAAACCTGGAATTGGACGCCAGAATGCCAGACTGCGTTCGAGAGGGTCAAGTCATTGCTGGCTTCAGACCTACTCCTGACTCACTTTGACCTGTCCCGAGAAATTGGCCTCGCCACAGACGGTGTCATAGTTTCCCATACGTTCTCAGATGGATCTCAGAAGGCGATCGCACATGCCGCCAGGACGCTGACGAAAGCCGCAAGAAACTACAGTCACATCGAGAAGGAGGCATTGGCCATAGTGTTTGCTGTGAAGAAATTTCACAAGATGCTGCATGGTCGCCGCTTCACACTCTTGACGGATCACAAGCCGCTGATGGCCATTTTTGGCTCGAAGAAGGGAATTCCTGCCTATACAGCGTATTGACTCCAACGATGGGCACTCACCTTGCTGGGTCATAATTTTGAAATCCGTTATCAGTCGACGGTTGCGATGGGCCAGGCAGATGCGTTGTCACGCCTCATTGATTCCCAGCAGCAAGAACACGAGGACACCATCATAGCCTCAGTTGAGATCGAACCTGATGTCAAATTCCTGGTGAGCGAGGCATTACATGGTCTGCCAGTTACGGCCGAAGCTGTGCGGGCCGAAACGCTTCGAGATCCAATCCTGAAGAAGGTTACACACTTCCACAGAACCAGCTGGCCACGTTCGTGTTCATCTGCCGAAATGCAGCAGTTCTATCAGCGATGACATTTGCTAACCATTATGAACGATTGCGTCATGTTCTCAGAGAGGATAGTCATCCCGCAGGTGTTGCAAGAAAGTGCTGCGGCAGTTCCATGCAGGACATCCAGGGCTCAACCGAATGAAAGCGCTTGCCCGAAGTTATGTGTATTGGCCGTTTATGGACAGACAGCTGGAGCAGCTAGCTAGAAGTTGTAGCAACTGCGCTACCGCTTCAAGGGCACCGCCGAAGACTGAACTCCACTCGTGGCCTAAACCAACTAAACCTTGGAGCCGTGTTCATGTCGACTTTGCAGGCCCAATCAACGGCCAGAACTTTCTCATAGTGGTCGACGCTTACAGCAAGTGGCCCGAAGTGTCCCTCATGAGCAGCACGAAAACCAGCGCAACAGTCTCGAGGTTGCGACAAATCTTCAGCAGGTTCGGCTGCCCTGAAACATTGGTGACGGACAATGGAGCACAGTTTACTTCGGCCACATTCACGGAGTTCTGCAAACGCTGCGCCATCAAACACGTGAGGTCTCCACCATTCCACCCACAATCGAACGGCCAAGCGGAGAGATTTGTGGATACATTCAAACGCGCTCTCTCAAATCAAGGAGGGAGGGAGAGACAGAGGAAGTGATCGACCGCTTCCCCTTTCTGTACTGATCTACACAAAATCCACAAACGCCGGGTGGAATATCACCAGCAGAGGCAACGAGAAAGAGAAAGCTTCGCATGCCCTTTGATGCAGTTCGGCCGTCCTCAGAGCCCACAGCTGGTGAAAGGAACCTCAAGATGGAACGTGACTTTACTCGGCTGTATGGTGCTAAGCGACGTTCGTTTAAACCGGGTCAGCCAGTACTTGTACGTGATTACCGGGATGGACACCCAAAATGGACGTCAGGCACGATCAAAGACAAGCGCGGGCACGTCATTTACAACATGCTGGTTGGAACGCAGGTATGGGTACGCCATGCAAACCAACTGCGACCAACAATGTGTCAGGCACAAGCAACAGAATCCGCCGAGCTTCCATTTGACCTGTTGACGGACAGCTTCAAATTGCATAACAGCCCGTAGAAGAATCCTGTCATCAGACGAATGATACCAGACCGCAGAGCACGGAATTTGAATACAGAATACTACAGCCAGGGCGATGGACCGATAGTCGTAGAACCCCTTCCAAGTGGCTTCAGGTCAATCCCAGGCTAGCATCATACACCGCGACAGTCGTTTTCAGGAGGGGAGTTATCCGGGTAAAAACATAAAGGAAAACCATTATTTTAAACAATTACTCGATTGTCTTCGATCGTGCATTGATTTCGAAGATTCCTGAAACTTCCATTCCTTCAGGGGATTGCCACCATATGGAGTTTTGGCAGGGAGGCTGCTACTTTTACCACTTGATCTTCGTTTTCTAAAAGCCGAAGGTCATTGAGCTAGCCACATATTTGGCGCAAGTCTGGCGTAGTGGTACATCGTTTTGGCGGCGTTTTGTTTAACACGTTTTTCGCGGCCAAGCTCGTTGAACTTCTAATTTTTCTTCGGCTGGGGAGAATTTTTGAGTGTTTAATTCGGAATAGCGAGAAAACGTAAAGATGTAACATTAGTCACCTTCCTTCTGTCATCCTCAGCATAATTAACGACAGCTGCAGTATTTCTGGGGTCTTACCTTTGAGTTGCACCCCCGTAGTCATCACTAAACTTCTATCTTTCACTTGCGGTACATCATTCCCAGTTTTTCTGGTGACGTTCGACATTCACTCTTTGGCATATAAGCCAGCAGCACATGCTGGTACGCACATTAACTATAATAAGACTATGTGCGCCTCCTTCCGCAGCACAGAATTCGTGACTCTCACTCGGTTGTCAAACTGATTATACCTGGTCTATTTTCTTTTTATCGATTGCACCCAACCTGTGCATGCTGTATCAGCATGCATAGGTCAGGTAGGAGTAGACATCGCTCACAGCTACACAGCTAAATGGTCATTTGTTAGATTCCTACGGGCATCTGTTTGTGGGTTGCTCATTTGACAACGTCAAAATAAGGTTGTCCGACGAAAGCAGACTAGACGTTTTATGTTCGTTATCACTGCATATACCCGAGCCGAATACCACTCTGGTGCTGCTAAAGAGCGCATACCACAAGCTGAGCACACTTACGCTTAGTGCTACCATCTAATCTATGGTCCTACTTGCAGGAGTTGTGAATGTGCATGTCACTTAAGCTCTTCCGAGACTTAGATGAGTTGGATGTTCTTGTTTACTTCCGAGAACACGCACATTGGTGACCATTCATCACAACTGTTCACCGCTCGTCACTTGTTCTTAAGCAGCACCTGCTTTGGGTACCCAGGACTCCGATTTTCCAGGTGGCATCCTCCAACAACAAACTATCGATGAGCTACCGCCACGTGCCGGTGGCCGAAAGGAGAAGTCGCTCGATCTGTATCCCAAAGGTCACCATAAATTTTCCACACCTGCGTGACCGTCCGCAAGGCGTGATAAGTGGCCTTTTCAGAACTGTCTAGGAGAGTTACCGACTTGGAAGCATCTGTTGCGACTGCAGTAGGCATCTTCAGATACCAGTGTCTGCGCAGTGCATCGTTTTGAGCTTGACATATGAAGTTCCACATTCTGCGGACCAAATTTTTTGTCTTCTGCAAGAGTAGATCCAGTAGTGCGCGGACATCTTGCATTGCCTGCAGGAACAAACTGTTATAGCACATCGATCCAAGGAACGACTGTAGTGCGGGGATATCCTTCGGACCAGGTATCTGCTGGTTTGGTCGAATGTTTTCAGGATCGGGCTCTTCTTTATTATTATACCGTGCTTACCGATAGTATCGGAACGATACAGTACCATTATGACCGTTGTATGTCAGACTAGTTACCCACAGTCTCCTCAACTAAATCCAATTGTTACTGCAGCACTGACTCATCTTTGACCTGAGGAGCAATGCAATATCCCGCACGCCTTCAACAATTGTACTGCACCTCTAGCACTGCCTATTCTATCTTCATATGTTGCCATTCATTTTTGAGATCGCATTAACGGTTCACCTCTTATGGTGGTAACAAATCCCGTTGCTTTGTCCCAAAATTTTTTAAAATCTTGCTTTTCATAATTTTGACTTGTCCACCCCAAAATTGTCATTATTTAGGCCCTCAATCGAGCTTTACTGCGATGGTTGAAGTCATGGGATTCCTGCGTATTCGGCTCTGGTTCTGCCGATCGCCCAACTGCTTCATACAACAAAGCAAATGCTAATTTCCGAACAGCCGCGCAATCGATGGACTGGTGCGAAGATTTGGAGCGGATGGCTAGTGAAATCGATCCCCGCGACGGGCTGCCTCGTTATCGAGTGGTCTTGCTCTCCGGGTGCCCAGGATTGGGCAAGACCACTGTGGCGCATTTGTTGGCACAACACGCTGGTTATCAGGTAGTCGAAGTCAACGCAAGGTGAGCTGCAGGCTTATACGAAGGGGTACTGATAACTCCTTGATTATGATCAGAAGGAAGAGAGCTCGAATTATGCAGTAGCACATTTGCTCAACCTATTCTCCATTGAGACTAATGTGCTTTGTACAGCTTGGTTTCAGTGTTTCTAGACCGTTCGATTGAAGGTCCTTCACTTGGGCCGCGAATCAGCTGTTAGCATTATGTTTGACGCCAGAAACGTCCTTGGAACGTCTACTCTTCAGGCATTTCAAATTCGGGAACCGGTTTTAGTCCGAACGGGTCAGATCAGGAGAGTAAGGGGATGGTGGATCAGTTGGGAACCTATGATCTACGATTTGTCATTCCCAACGTTGGAACTGCGCAAAGGGGCATTAAGCTGCAAAGCAAGGACCGCTTTGATAAACTTTTCACGTCGTCTCTTTGTAATTCTCTCTTTCGGCCTGTCCAGGAGGTTAGCAGAATATTGTCCTGGTAATTTAACTTGCGAACAGCTTCTAGTTACTCTCCGCCCACGGTCAGCGCAGAGGTGATCATTGCTAATCCAGGGACAGAGTTCTATATTTTAGTACTACTCTATCCTATGCTTTTAGGTAGATTTTACGCACCGTCATAGATTAAAGGATTAACGTCGGCATACTTCAAGTCAATACATCAACCATCCCTCCAGCAATCCCGCACCCAAATTGTGCCCACTGAATGCACGTTCCACGAATTCGTCGGTGTCAAGCTTAAAAAAGAAAGGCGACGATGAGTTTCCTGGTCTGAAACCGCCTGAGATATTGAAGGGAGATGATATTTTTCTCTGAACCCTCTCTCTTCTCAAACTAGACACGTAGAACGCTCTTATAGTATGTAACTACTTCTCAGGTACACATTTCCTAACTAGAAAATCATATGCAGCACGTCGATCCACTGAATCGTATACATCATCATCAGTACGCGTTAGCTGAGGGTGATAAACACGTCTCCGCTAATGTACCACAATACAAAAAGTAACAATAAAAATAACACGACATAACAGTTAAAAATCAGCTTATATAATGTTAACTATCATATTCGTTTACTGTGAGATCGCGATTAGAGGAGAAATCTAAAGGAGAGGATGTGGACAAACAAACTCACAACACAGTCGCCATCGATGCCGGCTCCTAGTCATGTCAGCGATCATGTCCAGCCAAACGTTTTCTTCATCTTTTGGACCCTAGTCCGGCAGTCGGGATGCATCAGCCAACGCCCACTTCGAAGTGGGGGTTTCATTCCTTTTGACCAAGTCATTGCTTGGCCTCCCCTCCTCTTCCATCCAGACGCCGGGCGCGCAAACAACACACGTCACGAGAGTCGGTGGGCTGGCATGCGCAACAAGTGGTCCAGCCATCGGAGCATGATGCGTGATATAATGGAGCTGAGCTATTCGCTCGCTCTACCTGCACCAAATACGCTACGCCGAACACATACATTACTCACGCGGTGCTCTCACCAGACATGAGCTAAGCCGCGAACGCAGCGATGATCGAACGTAACTAGCCTTTTTGTGTCTGTCGACTGGATGCGCCACGTTTCACAGGAGCGTCAAACGGACGACTGCATTGTAAACTCTACCATTCAGGGCAAGAGTGACATCACGTCGGCGCCACAGGTGGCGATTGGCAAAAGTACCCCGACGGTTCGTGACCTCATCATTAGTCCCACGGGCGCTAATATAGCTGCCCAGGTACTTGAATTCCTGAACGACTTCTAGCTGATCGCCACCGAGGGTCAACGCAGGGGTAAGTCCCTGCCAATCTTGGGAAATGACTTTGCATTTGGAGAGAACAAAGCATGGTTCAAAACAATTTCCAACCAGTTCTAATCGGTCCAGTGCTGCTTGGCACGTTTAGGCGATGTCACATATGAGGGCGATGTCGTTAGCATATTCCAAGTCAAGAAGTCGCTTACCAGGAAGCAGCTCCACATTTTGTAAGTGCTGTCCAGCGAACTCTGTTTCCACAACTACGTCAATAACCAAGTTTAAGAGGAAATGTGACAAAGGGAAACCTTGTCTCACACCGCTGGAGATAGCAAAGGGCGGCGGCAGTTTGCCATAAACCCTCACTCTGCGCGAACTGTGCGCGTACAGCGCTCTGATAATGTTTGCATATTTTTCGGGCACACTTTTCTGTGCAGAGTCCCAAAAAGTCCATAGATCAACCGAATCGAAGGCAGCTTTGATGTCGTGAAACACGACTACGGTGGGTCGCGGTGCTCCAACAATTGCCGTAAAGTAAAGAGGTAGTCGATGGAGCCTCGATTTCTACGAAACCCAGCTTGCTCACCACGAATCTGACTTTCACGAGTGCCAGTCAGTCTGTGGAGAACGACAAACGCAAGCAATTTAGAGACAATTGAGATCAGACTGATCCCTCTGTGATTGCCACACTCAAAACGGGAGCCTCCTATGAAAATTGGGACTATGACGGATCGGCTCCAGTCTGTTAGAACAGTTTCCTGCTCCCAAACTTCCACTGGCAACTCATGTAAATCATCTACGAGAGCAGGTCCATCGAAATTGAAAAGAGCTGGAGGAATTCTAACTGCCCTGCGGCCTTATTCAATTTCCAAAGTCTGATCTCGCGTTGGATTTCTGTACGCGAAGGTGGATCCACGAGGATGGCCAAGGGAGTAGGCTGATCTATGGCCGGTGAAGCTACCAGCTCTGACTGGTTGAATTGCTTCTCAGTGTTTAGCCCAACCCTCCAAGCGTTTTTACAAGCTATGAGTCGGCTGTCCACTCTCGTCGCGTATGGTCTCGCCAACACCAGTTCTCCTGCTACTCGTTTCCCGTATCAAACGGAATAGCTTACGATGGTTTCCAACGGGAGCGGCTGTTTTCTGCTCCCAATGCACGAGGAGACCATCAGACTTCGCGGTCTTCATTTAGGCTAGCACGCAGTTTCGCCCTGAGATTTTTGCAAGTCTCATTATGTTCGCTTCCAGTCGGAATACGCCGGCGAGCATCCAGAAGTTCCAGTAACCGTGTAGGGACCCACTGTCCAGGTTGGCAATTTTATTTGCCCCATGAAGTCATGCCTGCTGATAGTAACATTTGGCAAACATGCGACCAGTGATCTTCTACGGTGTTCAGTGGGCGCTTACTCAACCCGGATGCCAGCGAACTTTGATACGTATTCAGAACGCCTGGCTTCGTCAGTTGGCTGGTGTCTGCGCGCACAGCGACGTTACGGAGGTCCGCTGAAGCTCATCCTGAGGTCGACACACACACAAGAGCATGATCGCAGTTTGCGCTCTTGCTCCAAATCGAGCGACAGTTTTAGACACAGTCTCCCCAGCGGTAAATGATTGCGATGTAATCGATTTGTATGCATGGCTGGTCCGAGGCAGTTGCGCGCCAAGTCACTGTTCTGCGAGTGCTGTGTCGAAAAGTAGCGCACTCGAGAAAGAGGCGAGCATATTCACGCAGGTGTAGCAACCGCTCATCGTTATCATTACGAGAACCCAACCGTCCACTCAGTAGGGGCTTCCTTCACATTTTGTATCACTTCCCAAACATGCAGAACCTTCTTATCTTCCATGTCTGGTCTGTACAAACACCACTCACATTCCATTGATGACCGCATAACCGTAGCTTACTGTTTCGCATACGGATTTTGATTGTTGATGAACTCGGATTGGTTTTGTATTATTGGAGTGAGCGCCATGGGTTTGAATTGCGACGCAATCTTCACTTAGTCGGTGATTTAATTTGGGTAAACCTCTTTCACTATGATCCCTGGTGTGGGTAGAGGCGACGTTGCTCACTCTCGACGCCGCACCGCAAGACCGGTTTCATCCTTTTCTGAATTCCTCAGGCAACGACAAGCAAGCTGCGGTCCTAACACGCACTTGAAGGTCGTTGTCCAGATGCTTTCAACATGGATCACACTTGTCACAACTACCGAGAACTATTTGTTCTTCTCTGTGCTCAGATTACGATAAGCGATGTTATATCACTCAATCATTTGACCTTTCTAGCACACTTTTGCATTCCTTATCTATTTCAAACAAGCAACAATATTTACTCAACGTGACATCCATTGTTATCGACGACGTACTGCCAACGCTCAGGCAAGTTGTCGATGTCTCTCTTATAGAACGAGCTGGACTGGCTGTCAAAGTATTGGGCAAGGTATGTTTCGATATGGTTGCGGTCATGTAATCTCTCGTCCTTTATGTGATTTTGCAGCGAGTGGAAGTGGTGGTAGTCAGTAGGAGAGGGGTCCGAGCTATATGCTGGATGCATAACAGTTTCGATACCGAGCTGCTGAATTTTGAGACGCGTCATATTTGCCGCATGAGGACTTGCGTTTTCATGCAGGAGAATAATTCGAACCGTTTTTGGACGCTTTTCAATATTCGTCGACCATCTTTTGCAGTTGTTGGCATTAGACATCGGCGGTATACTGCGGATAT